GTGTGGACGTTTACAACTATTATAGTGGATCTCAAAATTATCCAGCATAATAGTTATAATTTTACACAATTTTTTACAATGCGCTTGAGATTAGAGAAGCCTCTAGGCTCGTCCGCTATGATTGTTGGTCGTCGCTTTAAAAAAAAGTAACGGAAAAGTAACGAAAACTTACTTTCTCAAGTAACGGTAACTGTAACGAGTTACTTTTAAAAATCGGTAACTAGTAACGGTAACTTGTTACTTTTCCTACTCGGTAACGAGTAACTGTAACTTGTTACTTTTAAAAAGTAACTTTCCATTCCCTGCGCGTAATACCGTAGCGTAGCCTGACGCTAGTTAAAGTACGCGTGACGCGAAATAGCGTGTAAAACCGCGAAATAGGGCAGTAATCCCTTTGTATCCGCCGAAGTACGGAATTCGGCGATAATACATAGTATATCGTTAGTAAACGTGCACAGCACGGTTCCCGTGAAACGTGACGCGTGAATTAAGCGCGGAATAATCGAGGATTATAACCTCAAAGTACGTTGTACCCGATAGGTGATGCAATATCACGCCACCTTGTTGAGCGGCCATTTTGAATAACCGCCATACGTCGTGAGTGCGACGCGACGCGACGACGTGTAATAGAAAGGGACAACGCGACAAAGACAACTTTGTCGAATATCGCGAGATCAGTGTGAGTGAGTGACTAGTGTGAATGAAGGCCTTATAGATAAATTGTTGGTGTTATTCTAAATAAATATTCTATACGTTGTTACACCAAAAGTGCTTTCTCGTATTATTTTGCGAACACTACCTTCTGCGAACCAAACACACGCACCGCTGCACATCGACGGAGAGACATCCGGAAAAAGAGATATCTCGACACGAGGGCCAGTCAGATTCGAGGACTGAAGGAAGTCACCAATGAGGGACGACCTACTTGCAGAGCCCGATTCCATGGTTCATCCTGGATTGATAATCCTTCTCTGTTAGTTGGAGAAACAGAGTGGCGACCGTAAAGTAAGACACCACAGGTGCATGATTTTATTAATTAATTATTTATTCATTCGGAAAGACGAAAGTGTTACGATTCGACTCGAGAATCCGGTTACAACCTAACCTTTTTTTTGTTCACGCTGGAGAAATGCGTTACGCATACCCGCCCCTCCGGGGAGAGGGAACGGGTTATGTGGGACTCTCCCCAAACCTGACGGTCCGGGGCCTACCCACTAAAACCCGAGCGAGTGTCCTATCTCGGGTGCAGGTTTAGGGCGAGGAGGGCTCAGGACATCGGTACTCACCTCCTCGTCCTAACGCCCTAAGCGATTGTGCACTACCAGACCTAACTAACTTGGGGTGAGGGGGGACACCATCTCCCCTCACCACCAGCCCCCGACCCCGTAGCTAGAGGATAGGGA